GTTCTTGCTGTGTTGCCCAGGCTGTCCCAGACCCTGGGCTCAAGGGATCCTCCCACCCCTGAGGAGCTGGGACTGCAGGCTCACACACTTAGTCTGCTTCATGATTTTAATGATTTGGGCCACAGTGGGAATACCTGGGAAATAGACCCAACCTTGGCACCACCATCGCATTCTGGACCAAGGACACCCCAGGTACCCAGCCTGGACTCTGCCCCACAACAGCACATTCCCCACACGGGACCCAGAGCCACAGAAATCTGAACTGGCTTCAAAAGCTTCCGGAGACTTCCCTGCACTGGGTCTGCAGGCAGGTTCCTCACCCCTCCCCTGCCCCAGGAACTTGGCCAGGTCTGAGGCATTTTGGATGCTCACACCTGGGGGGTACAGCTCCCTGGACCAAGAGTTCCCAGGCCCCAAACACCAGTCATGCCAATTTGAGAAACTAACAATGAAACACCTCCCTGGACTCACCTCCCCTGGTACCAGCGCCGCTCTCCAAGCCCTTCCGGCTGCTCTGTCCCCCAACACACCATGCTCCACTTCATTTCTAATCACACCATCCCTACTTTATTTCCAGTGACAACAACCCAAAAACCCAACTTCTTTCCTGTCCCTTTCCTGCAGAAGACAGCACACAGTAACTTCCGGACTCAGAATGTACAKCCAGGAAGCTCCTTGATCCAACTTCACTGCCACCGTTTCCTAGCTCAGTAACTTTAGGAAAAGATGCTCCATATTCCCTGATCCTCCCCTCTTCTTCGGAAAGAAAAGGGTGCCATCGGTACCCCACCGCAGGGTTAATAAAACACACRGAATGAGCCAGATGACACATATCCACACAAGGGAACAGCTGCCCAAGACTTGGGGAGYGGTGGCCTCCTGGGTGCTCGCTGAGGATCGGCTCAACAATGCCCAACGAGGGGAGATTTTTCTTGCCACCATTTTTCAGGAGGAGAAAATGAGACCCCGAGAAGTTGAGGAACCTGTGCCAGGGTCCCAGCACCAAGGTGGCTGGGTCAGGGAGTAAACCCAGGCAACCAGACCCCAAAGCCCTGAAGCTCCCCCACTGCCTGGTGAGCTGCGGCTACTGTCTCCCACGACAGCAGCCCTGATTTTCTCTTTATCACCTTTCACCACTCCAGGGGCCACTTACTGAAAACCGACCGACTTCACAGGTGACCCAAGACATGAGTAAATGGAGGGAGCACCTCCTCCCACCCCACTCAGCTGCTGGGCTCTTCCAGAGGCACCACGTACACAGCCACCTGTCATCCAACAAAGGCAAACTGGTGACCACAGTGAGGGAAGACCACTCCCCGCTGTCYGCTCCCGAGCTGCTGTGTGAGGTGTAACAGCTCTTCTGGAAGACAACCGGGAAGCATCTACCTAGCCCTCTGCCCTGTTCACATCCTCCGACCTGGTCACTGCGTATCTAAACACTGTGCAAAGTGACCATCAGAAGCAGATGGGACACCCCAAGACGGAGGGGTAACGGCATGCATCGTCACCTTAGGTAAAGCGCTGTCACAAGTAGGTTCCACTCAAATGACAAAAAAATGTCCGTGGATACTACGCAGCCATGAAAAACTTGGTTCTTCCCATGTGTTCAATTACCCAGAAAATAGAAAGTACTCGAACTTCAAGTGAAAAGGCACTTTCTCTCTCGGTGGACACGCACAGAGGCATGTGCCTCGTGGAGGCTCCCCAGCCATCCCAGGCAGGTCCGCTTAGGAAGGAAGGGACAGACACACAAAGACGGGTCTCGGTTTGCTATTCTTACAGAGGGATCTGGTAAAGAACGCCGCCCCTCGTCGCTCTGGTTGCCATCTTGTCCCACCACACGGAGTCTCACAGCTCGCAGACCCACCAGGTCCAGCCCAGCCTGCGCGGGTCGTAGGACAGCCACTCCAGGACACCCCGGCCCCCCTACAGAACCTCTCACCGACTCCAAGCCACAGGCTGTGCAGCCAGGGCCAGACACAGCGAGCTCTAGTGACAACCAGGAAAAGAGCTCAGGACCCCGGCGGTGGCCAGGACCTCAGGGAGAAAACCACAGAGGAGCATCTCCTCCCTGAGGCCACCGGGAGGCAAAGGCGCCTCTCCTGTCGCCTTCACTTCCTTCAAGAGACGGGGACGCGGTCGGCCCCTCAACCAAGCCCACGGTGGCCACGGCCCCCCACCGCGCCTTCAGATCCCAGCACCCCGCTCTGGGCGCGTCTACGGGTCGGCGGGAAACACATACCTCGTGTTCACAGATTTTGATGACTACTTTTGCTATTTGCGTCAATTTGTGATTTCCTAGGGGAATAAGAAAATAGGATTAATTCTACCGGAAACACYGTAACACCCCACCTTGCAATTCGATGTCCCCTGACAACATTTGGCTCGCTTTCCTCCAGCAGCTGACCCAAGTTTCTGCTTTCTCATGTCAGTTCCGATTATTCGCCCTTCAAGACCAACCGGTCTTTGATGCCTCAAGGTCATCTCCCAAACCGAGCAACTGGTGTGGCTTTCCCCAGATCACGGATTAACATCTGAAAAAGGTTTTGATCTTCTACAGGCTCCAAAGTCCTGGAGAGAAGCCTTACTGTACCCGTCACCCCAGACTGCAGCAACCCAAGAAGGCGACAGGGACGTCACCACGTGGCTGGGCCAGGGGCTTCCAAAAGAGTCCTCCAGGAGCCACAGCAGCAAGCAGGGAAGAGCATTCAAGCTCAATTATCAACTAAGGCAAGGTCAGGTTCTTCCACCAGGACACTCATAACAAAGCAGAGACCTGGACCGGTCTAACCCAAATCCTCATCTTTGCTCTAAAGCAGGGGATGAGGTGGTTAAAAAACCAGGCTTTCTTTGACCTAGATATCCAACTCCTGCGACCCACAAGCCCCGGGAGCTACCAACAGCAGCCTCTCCAAACAACCGGAGTCCCTGCTCCCCTCCCCCACCAGCCATCCCCAGGGCTGCTGGCCTTCTCCTCCCCTGACCCCACTCACTCACTCTCTCCCATGCTCAGTGGGCCTCTCTGTTCACCGCCCAGCGCCTCCCCTTTCTCCGGGAACTGCAGTATGCGGGCTCCTGCTCAGGGAGACCCCTGGAAGCTGGCTGAGGGTCTGCACTTGGCCACTCATAGGCAGAGAACAAGGGCAGACCCGCCCCCGGAGGAGTCACCTCTGGCGCCGAGATCAAGCCCATACAAACAGCGCCACTCGGGAATCTTGGTGATGCAGCCAGGGTCAGTAGAGAGCCCAGGACCTCCAATGGCCTGGGCCTCAGGGAAGGAGTCTTAGAGGCCGAGAGGCTGAGGCACAGGGAAGGCCAGGGAGGCAGAGGCAGGTGGAGGGTCAGCCGCAGGCACCACCCGGCACAAGCACAAGCTGACCTGCAGGCCAGGGCACCAGGTGGGCAGGACACGGAGAGACCCACCTGGCCAGAGGCAGACAGAAAAGAACCTTAAGGAAGGTGCCCAGAGGAGAATCAGATGGAAGTTCTCCTCCATCCTCCAAATCCACGAACACACAACYGTCAGCACTAGATCCAGCACATAAAGGGCTCCGGCAGTGAGCCACAGAGCGCAACAGCCCAGCTTCYGAGTGAACAGTCGGGGGTTTCACCCCAACACACAGATCACTGTGAGTACATGAAATGACGGCTCAGTCCCTGGCCGTGGGGAGAAGGCAAATCAAAGCCCCTGGTGACACAGGAGACATTTCACGTCACCCAAGAACGGCCACGTCAAAAAGCCAGGCAGGGCCAGGATGTGGGACGCGGGACATCCCATGTCTGCCCGGGGAGCACACTGACATGAGCTCTGTGCACACACTGGGACAAGGGTGCTCAGGAAGCTAAGATGACCCGCTCGATGGTGCGGCACCAGACAGCCAAGAGCCTCGGGCACACCTGCCCAGACCACGGGCACCACAGGAGTCCCCAGCCCAAAGACGGAGACCACCGGAACGTCCACCATTAACCAGGGGAAGGGACCCACCGCRGCCTGCTGACCACGGAAGACATCACCTGGCAACTACAAAGGCACCATCCTCAGTCACGCCAAATCCCAACGCAGGCTGTGCGCCCCCACACGGAGAGCACCCCCAGCCCCGTCCATCTGGAACTCTAGGCCACAGAGGGAGAGCRGAGCTCCGGCAGAAACGSAGGTGGACTGCGAAGCCTCCACCTGACCTGAGGTGTGGCCCTGCGCGCTCGTCCAAGTCACTGAACGTGCTCATGAACCTGCGCATTTCCCTGACATTTACCTCCGTTCAGTTATGGAGTCTGGAGAGGACCGTCAGAGCCGCGCATCACGGACGTCGGCTCACGCCTTACCGTGCACGTCGCACTGGCCCCGTTCACACGCCACGGCCATGCGCACACAGTGTCCTCGGTCCCCTGAAGCCTGATGCTCCACTCTGCAGCCCGGTTCTTCGCGAGGGGCAGCAGAGTGCGCACCAGGCGCGGGGCACCCTCTCCGGACGCCGCGCGGCCACTCACCCCCGTTATAAATGATGCAGTTGTGCAAGATCCACTTGGCGTCAGCTAGGAAGGCCTCCGTGCAGCCGTACATTTTCTTTTTAGCGTTCTGGGAAGAAAAGCCACGGGGCACAGTAAGCAGTGGCTCCACACCACGCAGAACCACCTGCCCCTCACACCGTCCGCTCACCACCACTCATTTCCCATGATCCTATTATTGTGAGATCTATGACCCTATTTTAAAAAATGCACCACTGAATCCATCATAGGAACTTGAATTTTCTCATCTTAACGCTGCTGTCATTTGTTAAGAGGTTCCTTCCAAGAAGAGGTCGATTTCTCTATTTGTATTAATTATAAAGACAGGTCTCACATGAGCCTCCTGAAAACTCAAGGAAGCACACATCACCATCCCCACTTCACACAACGCTATGCCAACAGTGTGAAAGRTGCATCCTCCTCCTCTTTGGTGGGAAGAACCCAGGGGCACTCCACCACTCAGCCACATCCCCAGTCCTTCTTTTCATTTTTTAATATCATTTTGAGTCTGGGTCTCACTAAGTTGCTGAGGCTGGCCTTGAATTTGTGATCCTCCTGCCTCAGCCTCCTGAGTCACTGGGATGTTGGGCGTGCACCAACACACCCAGCAATGTGTCCTCTTCATAGATACTTTTCATTACCTATATTGAGTTCATGGTTTGAGATCAGCACCACGGTGGTGTGCACAATCTAAAGTGTTAACAAATATARTTTTCAGCATGGAATTTAGCATGCACTCGGAAAAACACCTTCGGGCATTAACAAAATAGCCTTATCGGCTGAGAAGCCGATTCTAAGAAGCTACGTCCTTATTGCTAATCTGGAGGTTTCCCAGCTACTTAAACGTTCTCTTCTTCCTTCCTGCTGCTCTCATTAGCACCTCGGAAAGAAAGAGAAGAGCACGTAAGGCGCGAATCGATCAGATCGCTAATTCCTAGAAGTACGGCTCTTTCAGGTAGAAGCTGGAATCGCTCCCAGAAGAGCAGTGAGCATATCTCCCAGGACCCCCTCACCCCTGGAAGGACGTCACAGGGGAAAGGAAGTGAGCGGACCAAGAGTTCTTCTCTCCAAATAAAACTGATCTAACTTGGAAGTGAGGGGCTGCCTTGGCATCTCCACCCCCGGGGCCAGCACGGGAGGCTCTGCGGCGGAGGCCAACCTTTTCCAGTGTACAAAGGTCCATGGGGTGGAAAATATATTCTGCGTAGTCGGGATGCTGTTCCAAGGGAACGGGCTTCTGGAATGCATCTGTCTGTAAGAGAAAAGGTACATGCACAGGCCAGGAGACCACGCTTCAGCCAACACGGGACCGAGACGCTGAAGAGGACCTCTCCGAGACTGCCGGGAGGAGGCCGTGGGCAGCTCCACTGGCCACACCCCAGGCTGCCTGGATGTTGATAATCCTGGGCCCAGGTGAACTGGTGGGGGTTTTGTTATTTGCTTCGCTATCAACATACACCCAAGTAGCAGGTTCTGTCCCCTTCCAGTGAGGCTGAGAGTCCCCACACCCCAGAGGGACTCATCACCAGAACTGACTTGGGGGGAAATGTGTTCACACCTAAAGATGACACATCAGACAAAGTCTCTTGGGTGCCCACAGATGTTCCTGATGCGATGGGAAATCTAGACAGTGAGATTTCTTTCCTCTTTTCAGAGGTCAAATTGCCCTCAGTACAAGAAGTGGGCCAAAAGTCTTTCCCTGCACCCAGCTCTAACTTGACTCAGCTCAAGATGGCTGGGTGGTATTTACTTAGCAATTTCTTTCTTTTTAAATCCAAAGATTTAATTAAATACCAATTATACCCCGGCAAAGAATCGGGACAGATTTCCTTTTGCAATCACCTGTGTTCACTTCAATCCAGAAGGAAAAGTTTGACCACTGTAAATTTAAAAAATGCTCCAGAGCAGGGGTATGGCTCACGGGAAAGGCACTTGCCTGGCATGTGCCAGGCCCCGGGTTCCAGAATGGAGGTTTCAACAAAATCAGCGACTTTACGTCAAACAGAGCGAGAAAGTAAAGCTTTCTTCTATTTGTCCTTTGGTTTAAAACTTGACAGAGTTGACAAATCTACATACTCCGTTCTTTTTGTAAATAGTCGTCACGTTCAATCACTCCACAGTAAAAAAAAAAAAAAAAATTAAAGATAAAAAGAAAAAAAAGAATAAAAGCAAGACTTTTTAAGAAAAAAAAAAAAAAAAGATTTTTTCTTTTTTTAATGGTTCCAAGGATTGAACCCAGGGCCTCATAGATACTAGGCAAGCTCCATCCCTGGCCCAAGATTTTTGTTTTTTAACTAAACTAAAGCTGCTAGCACAGCTTTGCTTCCATCGATTGAGATTTGATTYAAGAGATAAATAGGTAACTAATTCAATATCTAATTGGCACATCTTCAATTTCTTCATCATAACAAATTTCAGAATCTCTCAAAGCAAACTTTTATTTGTTTAAAGAAACAAAACCCCGGTGGTCACTCTAAGCAGTGAGATACTCGGCTCCTGCATATGCCCTTGACTTAGAAAGCAAACCCAAGGACAACACAGAGGGTGCTCTGGGCAAATCAGAAAGGAGGGACCCATCCTTCAGTTTCTTTAGATTCATCTGGAGGGAGACAGAGTCCTAATATGTCCACTGTATCATCATATTATTTTTGACAGAAGACATCCCTCTGCCATTTTCCTGAAAACTATCATAACAATAACAGACACACCTAGGGTATGGCGGGCCCTCCCAGCAGGGTGCCATGTGAAGGCACAGCCAAGCCTGGCAGCCTTGCTGTCATACAGTTTCCAAAAGTAGCAAAGGCTGTGCAGCAGGACTCATTTCACAATTGACGGAACTAACCGAATTCTCACCCATTATGGAAATCTCCCTGGTTCCACACCAGACCTCAGTTATAAATAAACTGGGACGCCCTCCTCTCCCGGAAGCGGAATTCCACCCAGGCTGAGGGAAGGAGCACACAGCCGTCAGGGCCAGGGGGCTGTGAAGTTCTGCTTCTCAACCCACCAGGACTTTAAGGCCCCGCTGACGACTGGACCTGGTGGGGACACAGAGAGCTCACTGAAGGGCACCGTACCTGACGTTCACTTGACAGATTTAAAATGGGGACACACAAGACAAGTCCACAGAGCCCGGAGAGGGATCTGAAAAGCAAAGCCGACGAGCCACGCGGAAAGCTGCTAACAGAACTAAAGAGTCTTATCTTCATTTACGCTTACACCGGTGGACCGATCCTCTTACCCCTGGCTGTTTCATTTTCTGAATGGCAAACTTGAGCAGGTAGGAGAGCTGTTCAATGGTGAGCATTGTCATGGCTTTGCTCTGGGTCTCGATGCACTCTGCTACTGTAATCTTCTACGAGTCAAAAATCATACGCACACATCTGGTTAGAAAAAAGAAAATCACAGAGCCACGGGTTTATTCTCCTTCTACTTTTTCTTTTCTTTCTTTTTTTTTTTTTTTAAACATACATAAAAAGAGATTCCCATCTAAATGTGAATAGCTGTTTCCCTTGGCAAGGACTCCAATCTACCAGACCAAAATATACTGGATCTGTGGGWAGACATTAGAAAGCAACCAGCCCACTGACTACCTTACAAGGAAGTGTCTCCAGCTCAGGGAGATGGCAGGATCTGGGGGAGGTGGGGGGAGATGGGAATCTGGAAAAGCACCCTTATCCCAACCTCGGTTCTCAAGAAGGGGATGTGAACGGGAAGGTCACGATGCATTCGGGGAGGGATCTCCTCCCAAGATGAACTTTCATCAGCTGCTTATCTCGAGCCTCTTGAGACTCAGAGCTATCGTGCAGGAACGTGGCCCAGCACTGTCTGATGGCAAGAGACAGGCTCCCTGCAGGAAGAACCCGGGGGTGGGAGTGGACTGATAATTAATAGGACTCCATTGCTCATCAGCACTGATGTGAACTCCCTTGGGATTCATGGGCACATTTCCAAAGGGYAGAATCTACCTGTCTGTCCACACAGGCAAGAGATGTCATTTCACAAGGGAAAATCCCATCAAAGAGGAGACAGAGAGAAATGAYRGAAAGTGGATTCTGCCGTGGGACTGTGATACCATATCTCCGGGATTCAAAGGCCCATGTCCCGGCAACCTAAGTCATGAAGTGTTCCTCAGCCATCTGTGAAAGGAGCGCCGATAAGTTTTCTTGGATAATCTGGACTGTTTCCACTCTTCACTTCTCTGGGAACGCTCAGATGTGTCTGGCTGGTTGTTGAGGAGAAGGACCACCCCAGAGTCACTAGGAAGTTAGAAAGGCTGCAGATGCACGCCTCTCATCCCTGGGCTACCAGAGCCTGAAGAGCTAGTCTTGCCAGCAGTCTGCCTTACGTAGGGCGACCCTGGAAGAAAATCAGGCTGTGGATCGTGCACGCAGAACTCCTGATGGTTTAAATTCCAGTTGGATGCTGGGCTGCACCCAAGGAGAACACTCGGGTTACATGCCCAACTGTCCCTCACTCCCTCACCCCCTGCTCCCTCCGCCTGGCTGGCACCACCTGRAAGTGCTACATGAAGCCCTTGGGAAGCCTTTGTTGCACAGGAACTGCGGATGGGAAGCTCACCCTGAGGTCAGGGTAAATCCGCTGGAGAATGAGGATAAAATCCTTCTACTTGACAAAGAGATGCCAGAAGTGTCTTCCTCTTAGACTAGGACTCTTGTCTACCACACATGCCCCTGGAGCCCACCTAGGGCCTTGAGGGGGACACGTGGCCTCGGGATGAGATGGAAAGGGCCTGACTGGGCACCAGCTGGGCCTGGCCCCATCTCTGGGCCCTTCCCACACCTGCRGACCATAAACCCCACCGCTTCAGGCACAGTCCAAAGGAGCTCTCCCTGCAGAGGAGGCGTCCCAGGGAACCACCACCTGTTCTGCAATGGGATGAAACAAATGGGAACAGTCGCTTAGGCCCCAAGGACACCGGTGGAGGTTCCAGGTCGCGCTCTAGGTGTAGCAGAACAAGATCTGGCTCCAAACACAGGCGGGCAGGCTGGGCAACGCCCAGCCCACCTCTGTCTCCGTGGAAGAGTGACCAAGGGAACCAGCAGCCACCTTCCAGCCCTTTCGGAAGCAGAGTGCATCCCAGGGTCGTCACCAGACGGACTCGATGCCTGATTTCTTTTCACCTATTTTCTCTTTTCCTCCTTCCCCTGCACAGAAGTGGTGGCAGGGACACTATCTGTGACTTGTTTTCTTCTCCACAGAAAACATCCGGGCAGCCCCGCCTCGGCTCCCCAGATGCGTCTTCATGTGAGATCTGAGGCCAACGTGCCTAGGGATCCAAGAGACATTCTACTCTAAATGACTTTCAGATGACTCTTCTTTTCAGCATCCGAAAGAGCCTCCYAGTCCAGARTGGCCAAGAACAGATGCCRCCTCAGAACCCTGCAGGTCCAGGGACTGGTCTAATAAGAGCGGGAGCTTGGCTTCGGGCAGCTCTCGGCTACCCACGAAGCCGACGCTGCCTTCACTGCTCCCCTGCTCTGCCCAGGCCGCACCCCTGCCCGGAAGGTTCCCCCAGACAGCGGCAGGGCCCACCTCCATCAGCTCCTTCTCAAATCTCAGAGGGGCCTTCCAGGCCTGGACATTTAAAATGGAATGCCCTGTGGCTCCTGAACTCCCTACTCCCCATCTTCAATTTGCACCTCTCTTCAAACTCATTATTTCTAACTTTATTTTCACTTCTGTCCTTTTCTGTTAAAAGGAAAGTGATCTGTGCCTACTTTTCTGAGCACTCTCCGATCTCCCTTAGAAATACTTGTTGCATGAAAGAAAGACTCAGATGGCACGGCCACCACCCAGAACACAGGCCCCAAACTGGGCGTCCCAGGTCGGCGGCAGCTGCTGCTGATCCCATGACGCAGCAGGGCACACCCAAGAGAAGCTGCGCGAGAGCGTTTCAGACCGTGGGAACTGTCAACGGGCTCAAAAGTTAACGTGCAAGACGTGCATTCCAGAAGGAGCAGACAGCGGCAGAGCTCGAAGCGATTCAAAGACTCGAGAAGAACCCAGACAATATTCCCTGCGATCACTTCTCCAAGAGCTGCAGGACCGCAGCCAGGGGCAGATGCTGGACCAAAAGGGGGGTGGCCAGGACAGAGCGGGTGGGAGGCAAGAAATGTCTCTTTTCCCCTTATCTGGAATATTGGAAAGTTTGTAAGTCAAAGGAAGAGAAGAGAGAGGAAACGAAGCAGGTAATGTATTCATTCGTTGGGAACTAACCTCACATTCAGRACAAAACCAGTCCCCCTCTGGTTCCGATGTCAGTCTCAGACACTTAGCGTGATAAACCCGGGGACAGAGCTCACAGCAAAGGACTTGGCCTTCCCGGTGACAAACCCAGCAGTAGAAATCATTCCGTCCATCCTGCGGTACAACATCAACAGGGTCTGTGGTGAGTGGCTGCTTCATATAGTAAAACGGACCATGTCTTAGTTCTGACTGAAATGTAGGCAAGAAAGACAGGTTTGGTTTCAAAACAAATGTGCATTCTCAACAGGAATTTGAACAAGTACATCAATAACAACACAAGAAAATCACAGCATTTCCCATCTGCTAAACAGTCGAGCTAGCTGCGGTTCCTCTACTGCTCACAACATGAGCAGGTCATGGGGTAACTACGAGGGTCTTTCCTCCCTCCCATTTTAAAAGGCCACAGACTGAACACTAGTGTCTCAGAGTCACCAGGCGGCCCTGGCCTACGTAGGTACAAATTTTAACTACCGCTAAACAGCCGCATGACCTTGGACGGGTCTCCCCACCTCTGGGCCTCAGTTTTCTCATCTGTAAAATGAAAGTGAGGTACCTACCATCACGGGATTATGGGGCTGTGTTCAAATGAGAGGACAGAATGTATGGAATTAACACGGTGCCACCATCACCAATGTCGTCCCCATGGTTAAGAGCCCAACGTACACAAGTTCACGTTTACAAAGCCAACAGAAGTGTGCAATCTGCCCTGGGAGTCTTCATACTATAGGCACTTAGAGAATATAGCAATTGGATTCGAGGGACCAAAAAATGATCTTCCATTTTTAAGGCCACCCCCAAGGCACAAAGTYGTGAGCCAACAAGAACCTTCCTCTTGAACACTTGAGGCCCCTGGAGTTGCCAGAGAACCTCAGCCTTCATTACAAACAACTCAGGAAGATGACTTGGTGGCAGGTCCAGGGACACCAGAAATACAGGAAAGCCATCCTCCAGGCACATTAAATCACTCAGAAGAAACTCATTAGGAAAACCGCCATCACCCTCCAATATGGAATCCTATTTAAATCTATGATCCAGTCCACGGGGAGCATCAAACAGCCCCGGTAACTAGCGGAGTGATAGTGAAAGCTTGCCGCACAACTGTAACCCCAACTTGGGAGGCTGAGGCAGGAGGACAGCCTGGGCAACTTAGTGAGACCCTGTCTCAAAAAACTTGTTTTAAAAAGGGCTGGGGCCAGGTGTGGTGGCACACACCTATAATCCCAGGAGCCTCAGGAGGCTGAGGCAGGAYGATCACAAGTTCAAAGCCAGGTCAGCTACCTAGCAAGGCCCTCAGGACTAGTGAGACCCTGTCTCAAAATAAAACATAAAAAGGGGGGGGGTGGGGATACAACTCAGTGGGTAGAGTATTTGTCTTGCATGCAAATATGGTTCAATCCCCAGCACCATAAATAAATAAAGCACAAGAAGGGATAGGGATGTGGCTCAGCTTTCAGCACCCCTGGGTCCCATCCCCACTACCAAAAAATAACAAYGATAATAAAACAGGAAGAGTCCAGTGTGACCTCGAACCTCCCTTACTTGCAACCACATCTACCGTTAAATACAAGCTGGATCTTTTTTGGTCTTGTTTTTGTTTCCTTGGTGCTGGGGACTGAGCAGAAGSCAGGTGACTGATCCTTCAGCATGAAGTGTCTCTCACACCCTGTCACTATCCCACCCCACTGTCCCGGGTGGCTGTCCCCAGAGGATGGGGGCAGCTGGGCTGGTCCAGTCTCCAGACTCCCTCCTCTCCTGGAGCAGCCCTGGGTGCCGAGAACCAGCTGCCTGATTAATCGCCTGTCAATCAGATCCTTTCCTAATCTGCTGCTTGTAAGTGTTACCTGCTCCATAAAAATAATCTGACAACATGGAACACTTTTAAAAGGAAAAGCAAATCATTTCAGGCAAAATGAGTTATGATTTTCTCTTCCCCACAGGGAAGCAGCCAAGCAGGCAGGTTACAGCCTGGGATATCATGGGACAGTTACAGGTCCTGAGAGCACATGTTCTCATTCTCTGCCCTTCCACGGGCTGGCATGACAAGCAGAGTGGGAAAGACCCTTCCGCTGACTTCTGGAATGTCTTTGTGCACACCAAGAGSCGGCAAACACTTTCTACAAAGAGGTGAGCCTGGCAGGCCACTCAGTCTCTACTGACAGTGC